GCTGCACATAAGTTTATAATTGTATTTAAAATCAGATAATCAAGCCGAATATAACAGTTGAGCGACCGTGCTAGAACCACGGAACTCGGGAATGCCTAACACCTTCTCCCGGGTTAACAGAATTCCTTATCCGGATTTCTGGTACGCAGACTGTAATATGGAGTCATTCTTTTCCTCGATTCGGGATTAAAATTGGTGACTTGGGACACCCTAAATCTCCCAAGTGGCGACTCTGAAATAAATAAACAAATCCCGTTTCGATTGTCCTTTAATTGGAAAAAACTCCCTTGCGCCCCCGCGGGTGCGGAAAAAGGAGGTGTGACAGTAATTATCACTTTCGGGAATTTAGATGAGAACTATGGTTTCAGCTATAGAAACCCCCACAGACGGCACCAAATTGTTTGACTCAAAAAATGTTAAGACCTTTTTGAACAAATCAATCAAAGATGAAGGGGTAAATCGTAGCTGAAGATAATAATCTCTAGAATAATAATAGGTAAAAGGAAGAGAATTGTAGAGTTTCTTTTCATTCAAGATTGGTAAGTTTTTTTTCATCCCCCTTTTGCAAGGCCTTTTGTCCCCCTTATATACTAGAGAGGAAACCTTCCGATTTGTGAAACAAAATACAAGGAATATTCGACGAAATATTCTTAATGTCCCCTAATGGGTTTACACTTCTACAAGGGTCATACAGTTTCTTCTTTCGCCTTGGGGTCGTCTTCCTTGGGATGCCGGTTCGAAATTACCTGGTCGTTTGTCGTACTCGTTATAGGTCGTGGTCGGTCAAATTTGGACTCATACAACACTACCGCTCACGTCTTATTTCGACTGACCGGTCCTTGGTCGTCGTCATTCACCACGACGGCCATCACACGACGTGTCGTGATAACCTCGTTTCTCTTCTTATTCGGTGGCCCTCGTAGTTGTCAAATTTGGACCCATACAAGTATTATATCTTCATACCTTTGTAATTCATTTGAAAACCTCTAAATAAATTAAGTAAGATATTATATATATCCCGACATTTTGCGATTGTTAAGGATATTGATTAGTACTATTTAACTAGTTTTTGTTTTCTTTTTTGTCCTTGTTCTTCGGTAGGAGAAGTGCACGTGCAAACCAGTTGCTTCCTTGTACCAGCTACGAAAGAGCAACATGGTGGTGGCAATACCGTTAATTCTTTCAATCCCAGGGGTATTTCCAAGAACGGAAATTCATAAAAGCCATTCGAGGCGTTCGTGAAATTTCGTCCCAACATATTTCTCTCTCTCTTTCTCCCAAAAATCACAATTTATGAAAATGAAGAAAACAGTAATACTGATAGTGCTGCTCTGTGCCACCATAAGTGTCGTTTTATCTGTAAATGATGGTAAGTTTCTATTCATTTTCTCTTTTTTCTTCCGATCCATTGCTGAAAAATATACATAAAGTTGTGTATAACTTATTTAGCATATGATTATACTGTTAGTTTCATTTACTAAATTACTTCCATAGATTACTTTTGATCCTATATCTCAAATTACTAACTTTACTTGTTAAGAATAGTTTAAGAAACATGATATATAGTGTAATTTTTTTTTACGTGTTAACGTATATAGTGTGAAATGCAAAGTTGACTCCTTGCCTGCAATTACGCTTCTTCTTGCTTTTAGCCTATATGGAGTTTTAATTTGCTTTGCCAGACTTTGCTGTGAGGTGCTGTATCAGAGAACGATAGATGTATACTTAGAAGATAAGATCATAAACCCTTCATTCGGAAATATTTAATTTGTTGAATTAATGCTGAATCTGGTTCTTATGATACATTTATAAAAATCAAGGTCATATCTGTGTTAACTTTTCTTTCTTCATTTTAGAGCTGTTTCCTAAAAGATTTAGGATTGAATATCTCACACAGACACACACACACATTTAAAGAGGAAGAAGATGGAAAGAAAGGGAGAAGAAAAGAATACTATGAAAATATCAAACCTTTATTCTAATTTGTTGGGAGTGGTGGTGATGGAAGCACTGGTGTATAAATTCAGGAAGATACTCATGGACCGACCTCCGACGTACACGTAGTTACTTAGCTAGAAGGCAATTTAATGCTTATATGTATCTTCGTACGATATTTTGGGTATTAATTTCATGCAGAATGAAGTTTCAGCTTTCTGCACGTGGATCTTTATGACGAGGAATTGGAGCAATAAAATAACCGGTTGGGATATGGGAATATCGGAATAGTAGCCTGAGTGCCGTGTTAATTATTACTCTCTTTGTTTCACTTATGTTGATACCATTATTAATCACAAAGTTAAAAGAATTTTTTTTTACCGTGACTTATTAAGATATTTTTAAAACATTTTGAATTATTAATAATTATATTATGGAATTTCCAGAAATATAAAATTGAAACATAGTATTAATATAGCTTACATATGTCTCTTCTTAATTATTTGGGACATATATACATAGAACCGTAAGTCCTTGAGCCGATGATCTATCGGAAATAACATCTCTATCTTTATAAGGTAGGGTAAGGTCTGCGTACACACTATCCTTCCCGGATCCGATTTATGAGAATTCACTGGGTTCGTTGATGTTGTTGTTGTATCTTTCAAGTTCATATTGCATTTAATTGGTGGGATTCTTTGAAGACCAGCTAATACTCACTCCGATCCACTTTAATTAATTTTTGGTTGTTTTCACACACATTACAAAATTTATCTTTTAGCGTTAATTAGTAATAAAAATGACCATATTAACCTTAATTTGTACATTGGAAATATAACAAATACTCTTTAGGATCTTTACTCCAAGGGCTACTTTGAAAAAAGAAGAAGTTAGTTCCTTTTTACTTGAAAAAATCAAATATTGTGGACCACAAAAAAAGAAACCAAAAAATCAAAATCAATTAAAGTGGACATGAAGGAGTGGTAAATACTCCCTCCGTCTCATATTATCATTCGTGGTTACTAAAAATAGTTGTCTCAAATTATTTGTCACTTTAGAGGTTCTAGACAAAATTGATAATCTTTTTCCTTTTTTACCGTTAGTAATAATTATCCTTGAATACTACAAACACCTCAATATGGATAACTTTGTGCAAATATCAATGAAGAGAGATTAAATATTAAGACATGAATAAGTGTAAAGTAGTCAAAATTTCATTCTAATTAATTTTTCTTAAGGAGCTTGTACAAGAGAATCATAACAGATAATATGAGACGGATGGAGGGAGTATGAAAAAGTAATGGAAGATCCAGTCTTGCCACCGATCTCCCGACACCAAGTTGTCATCTCATATTCCCTACCCACATCTGATTTCTTCTAATAAACTAATCCCAAAAACCGGAAAACATAGCTGGTAGGCTTACTAATCACGGGTTCGTTCCCAATCCAAGCCATGTTACATGAAGCTAAAGCAAGGCAAAAAGGAAAAATGAAAGAACCTAATGCGCTGGCCTTACTTTCTTCACGTGATTACTGAACAAAACTTGTAATTATCTGATCACAACCAACACGACATGCTGTTTAGATTATACCTTAACCTTAGAATAATTTCTAGTCCACGTAAACGTAGATCTTCTCACGTTCGAGGAAGGTCTGCTTGTGTTAAAAGAATGCTTGAATATAACTTGAGTTAACATAGTCCGCTCTAGAATTTAAGTTCTTATCACTAAACACATTGTACTCTTGAAATATTATTTCAGAAATGATATTTATTAAAATTTTAGCATCATTTTCATGCATATTTATTGTCCTTTCTTTTCTACCTCCACATAATAGGGGTAAGATCTGCGGACACACTATCCTCCTTAAACCCACTTGTGGGATTATACTAGCTATGTTGTTGTATTTTCATACATATCTATATCCCGTGTCGAAAATATTGGATTCGATTAAAACTATTGAACTTATGCCTCATCTGTCTCTGTATGGACGTATGTAACTTTTCTATCTTGTGGTTGATCAGGATTATTGCCTAATGGCAACTTCGAGCAAGGTCCAAAACCATCACAATTGAAGGGCACGAGAGTGACAAACCCTCACGCTATACCCCACTGGGAAATCTCAGGTTATGTAGAATACATCAAATCAGGCCAAACACAAGGTGACATGCTACTTCCAGTGCCAGAAGGAGCTTTTGCTGTTAGGCTTGGGGAAGACGCATCCATCAAAACCAGAATCACGAACTTCACTAAAGGAACTTTCTACTCTTTGTCCTTCAACTTTGCTAGGACCTGTGCGCAAGAAGAGAAACTCAACGTGTCTGTGTCGCCTAACAGCGAGCCTAATGACTGGGGAATGCTTCCAATGCAGACCATGTATAGTAGTGATGGTTGGGACTCTTATTCGTGGGGTTTCTTGGCCGAAGCCAATGAAATTGACATCATGTTACACAATCCTGCAATTGAGAAGGACCCAGCTTGTGGCCCTCTCATTGATTTCATTGCTCTCAAGGCTTTGAAAAACCCTCATAGACCAAAAGGTAATCCCTCTCTCTCTCTGTGTTTTAAGCTGCTAAAAAAATCTTTTATACTATCGGTGCATAAAAGTTAAAACTTCAGATTCTAATACATAAAATGGACGCAGGCAACATGTTGAAGAACGGAAACTTTGAGGAGGGTCCATATATCTTCCCCAACACAAGCTGGGGAGTTCTAATTCCTCCAAATATTGAGGATGATCACTCACCATTGCCCGGATGGATGATTGAATCTCTCAAGGCAGTAAAATACATTGATGCTGCACACTTCACCGTGCCGGAGGGCAAGCGCGCCATCGAACTTGTGGCCGGTAGAGAAAGTGCAATAGCACAAGTAGTGATAACTACAAAAGGAAAGGTCTACGACCTCATGTTCTCGGTAGGAGATGCCAGCAATTCCTGCCAAGGGTCTATGCTTATAGAAGCATTTGCCGGCCAGATCACTTTGCGAGTCCCCTATGAATCCAAAGGTAATGGAGGATTCAAACGAGCCAAGCTTCGGTTCAAAGCAGTTTCTGAGCGCACCAGGGTCAGGTTCTTGAGCACATACTATCACATGAAGAGCGATCACTCTGGCTCCTTGTGTGGTCCTGTGGTTGATGATGTGAGATTAGTTGGAGTTCGCCATCCATAAGTTCTATAGATCAATTAATTACTAGTAATACATAAACTTGAACCAAACTTGAATGGTTATTAGTTTGCCTTTCCTTTTCTTTCTTATTACCGCATTTCTTATGCTGAGGGAATGAGTTCTTATTCCATGTAATGTTACTATGGCAGAGATGTTCGGTTTTTCATATTGCAAAAGCAATTAGAGGGTTACATCATTTAGTCTTCGGCGTCATATCTTACATGTACTTACAAAATTTTAAGAAATCAAATAAAATCCTTCATGAATCTACTCATTCGTTGCTCATATTTGATTAGATGAATCCAAATTCCAAATTAAACTTATTTTAATAAGCCCCAAAGAGGAGATAAATCTAAACACATCATTGTAACACATACTCAAGATATGGTTAAAAAACTAACTAGCAACACGCAATTTATTCTCTACTATTATACATTCTACATTGCTTTTCTAGTCTGATACTCTCTAATTATCTACCAAAATATGCAATTTGACTCCAGTTTCTTTTCTTATTGATTTGTTCGGTCTCCGAAACTCACTCGCTGTGGTCCAAAGTTCACTAAGAGAGGAATTGAAGGTCTTCTTTCTACAATTTATGAAAGAGATATGCCTCTTTTTCTTATGTGCTAATAGAAGGATTAGCCCTCTTACCAATATCTTCTCTACTTACTACCACATCAGATGGACAGTTTTTTTCTACCAACAGCTTCCCCTATTATCAAGAAATGAATAGCACCAAAAACAAAGAACAGTTTGAGGGGCAGAAATACCGAGACGACTGCAGGATGGTCCTTATAGCCAGTTAGAAAGAGTGGAAACATAGTTTTTACCATTGTGTCGGGCCTGATAAGGTAAAGAAAATCAGGCAACACAGATTACATTTTCACCAAACTTTGTAAAGATTACCTTAGTGATCAGGCTCAGGTCAGGAGGATAGACTCTTCCATTATCAAACCTGGTAGCCGCTTCATTAGCATAAGGGTGTGGAAGCCGATCACTCTGTTTCCAACTTTCCATGATAGTCATGCTCTAACAGATCATAGGACAATTTAGTTGGATTTCCATATTGATATAACTTGTAAAGCATCAATGCCAACGCGAAGGACAACAACAGTTGTGACTACCTTCTAATTAAGCAAAAACTCAGCACAATCTGCTTCAAATGATGCATGGAGTGTGTAATTAGCACTTGCTAATTTCAACAAGATACTCTTGTTCTCTATCCACAGGGCAAGTCCTTACAGGCTCAGGGTCAAAAAAAGTTCAACAATATAATTATGTTAATCCTAGTAGACAAAGGCAATTCTAGGGCACATTAAAATTCTTAATGACTCTGAACCAATACAATGTATACCACTAATTTTCATATAATTAGACACTCAAGCTGTTTCCCCCCATCAAAAGAAAACTTAAACAGTTTATTAGAGCTGATTAAAACAAGAATTACATCTCAATGTCAAATTATTAGAGTTGGCTTTATGAAACTTCAATACGCATTCTCTATATTTGGACCTCTTTCACTCCAATACCTTTTAGGACAAATTAGTTCTCCGCACTAGAGAATCTCATTTTCGAGTGACAAAAACTGATTGCCGTATAAATTCTCCTACATTAGGTTGCGTAAGCAGACAAATTCTGCAATGATCACTCCCTCTCGCTCTCTCTATATATCACTCTGATATACTTCAAACATAAATAAAAATAAGATTAAATATCAGCATTAATTATCTGTCTATTAACAATTATTTCCACCCAAAAACTTTCAATTGACGTCCATCAAAAGACTACCACAGATACAAAATGGGGGAATGATTGGGAAGAGCGTTCATACAAGTATCGTACAATCACCATCTTTATCGTTATTGGAACAAAAAAAGACTAAATTGAAAGATAGCTAGTGCTTATATCTGCCAAGAGAACAGTAACAAATACAGTGCTGAGTACATCATCATTCTAATGGCGCAACCATCAAAAAAAAAAAACAGCTTCTGCAAACTACTGTTAGAATAGGGAGATTTATCATCGATTAGCTCTCATACTGTGCATAATTTGTTTTTCTGTTAACAACTTTCATATGTTAAAACAAGCTATGGCTGAATAAGAAATTATTAATCTAAATAAAATAAAATTTAATATGTCCGAGCTGCAAAAAAAGTTGTATACGGGACTTGAAAATAACCATGGAGTTAAGTTGATATGGAGATAATTGATTAAATAAATGGAGGATCGGATATCTAATTCTTCTTTTTTCTCTCTCCTTAATTATCCAAATATTGCATAAATTATTTGATAAACGAAGTCCATCTATACTACTGGTATGTCCAAAAGAAATTCAATGTCCATTGACCAATTAATAATAATAATAATAATGTACTTGAAGCATGGAATGCAATTTCTATCAGAAAAGGTCAATCTATCAATAAAGTATATATTATGTCCAACGAAACGATCGGTAACTCCAGCATTGATAGGTTAGCCAAAATACCAAAGTATAAAGTGAAAAGATACAAAGTCTAGAGGAAAGGAATATTTAGAAGAGTTTAACTTTTATTTTCTGACAGTAAATTTTAACTACCACTTCACCATAAATAACTACGAGTAATTTTTATAAAGAAGTAAAATTATAATCTTAAAAATAAGTTAGTTGTCTTTTACAACATGTAACTATGATCTAATCATAATAAAATTTCTTCAAACTGTCGCCTGTCGGTATATTTAAGTAACTCTATTCTGAATTGCTGAATTTAAAAGAGGCAATAGGCAACTTGGTTCTTTACAGGTATGGGATCTCCACTTAAACGTCAACTCCTATTGCTATGCGACTTGCTTTCTGCCTCCAAATTAAAAGGCCAAAGGGGAAAGTATATTTGTAATATTTTTGGATATTATTTTGGAAATACTGTTCCACTTTTGACAAATTGGAGTATGGTTTCTCATATAATCCCCACTATATATGTGACCCCAGTTATAATCATCACGAGAGTTGGAAAAGTGAACTAAAAAGAAAAAGAGAACTTTTTTATTGCTGTTGAAGCATATATGTATATAGCAAACAAACAATATGGAGTAGTAGAAAAGTCATACTCAATATTATTATTTAGCATATATATTCATGGATAAAAAGTGGCCGTCCCGAAAACGCGGGGATAAAGGGGAATAACACGCAAAATTTGACATTCCAATATACAAACCATACATGATGGACCAACTTCCCTCTTTTCTATTTTTTCTCTTTCTATATTCCAATCAATGAGTCCATTATACTCGTATGGTCACTTGTCTATTCGAAATTATCTGTTAAAGTCATCTTTCTTTCATTTGTAACAACAAAGTCACTTAACTATGACAATAATACTCAGAAGGTCACTCAACTAAATTTCTCAAATTTTTTATCGCCAAATATCTATTTTACCCTCTAAATTATCAACTTTTATCTTCTTCTTTTTTTTAGCTTTTTAATATAATAATTTTTCTCTTTTTAATTTATATTATGGACTTACCTTAGAATAAATAAATTTTATTTATAAATTTAAAAAATTAAAATATTATCTAAGCATATACAATGTTGGAATAATAAAATATTGAGCATAGTAGAAAGTTAATTAGAATAATTTGTTCGTAATAATAATTTTGATATTAACAAAAAAATTCAAAAAATTATTTACACAATTGAAAATGAAAGAAAATAATTTTTTTAAAATATATATTCCATGCACGTACTATAGTAAATAATTATTTAAAATAAAGGTATTTTTGTAATGTACATTACTTATTCTTGGATATTATTCTCAATTATATTATTATTGGTACACTGAATATGCTAGAAAATATTTTTTTTATATTTTTAAATAAAATATTTTTATTTTATAGGTAAGTCAATAATGTTGATTAAAAAATGAAAAAAAACGATAGATAACAATTGATAATTTAGAGGGTAAAATAGGTATTTGCCGATCAAAAATTTTATAAATATGGTTGAGTGGCCTTCTGAGTGCTATAGGCGTAGTCAAGTGACTTTGTTGTTACAAACGAAAGACTATGGTAGATAACTTCAAAAAGCTGAGTGACCATCTAAGTAATGGACTCTGCAATCAATTATTTACTCCCGCACATTACAAAAAAAAAAATATTTACTTCCTTGCAGCCTTACTCTCATTTTGCCTGACATTAATTCCTGAGTAGTCTGTCTAAAAAGTAATGTTTTATTTTTCATTTGAAATAAAGAGTAGAATTTTAAACTTCTTATTTTATCTTTAATCAATGAAAAGTTTTTAACCCCATAAATATTATGGCATACTTAAAATCATATGTTTCAAAAAAAGAGTTTCTTTCTTAAACTTCATGCTGAATCAAATTATATCATATAAAAAATTGAAATGAAGGGAGTTATACTTTAAGTTTTGTGTATTAATTAATTGTGTATTGAATTATTACGCCATCATGTTAAGTAGATAACTCTTTGTAGTAATATAAAAGTAAAGTAATAACCAACTACGACACGTAAAATTATAATTACGACGTCAAAATATTTTATATTATTATTATTATTATTATTATTATTATTATTATTATTATTATATATAACTTAAATCCATTAATTATTTAAGATAGCGAGCTTAAAGGTATTGTTACTGTTGGGTTTTTAAGCTATTAATGCTTAAAATAGGGTGAATAGGAAATGGGGG